AGTGTAAATCATACCTGTAGCACAATCCGCCGGCTACCGTAAAGATCATCCCAGGCGTAATCGATATGACTTCGAGCCTTACAGATCGTCCTGAGATGCTGTCCTATTGGGCCTTCTGATTGCTGTTGATAGAGCACTGGGACCTTAACGAGCAGACATTCTCCATCTCAGACAAATTATCCGTTTGTGAAAAAACAACCAAGTGAATACGAAGTTTCACTCACATCCGACTGATTATCTATCCGAATTGGCGGTGGGTAGTATTCAGCATCGGTGAACGTCACACAGAATACCGCACTATTCAGGATCACTTCCACACGGACAAATCTTGGAGTCTCATCCGAATCCCTGAATCATTTACAATTAAAACAATCTTGAATACCAATAGCCAATGTTCGATTGTTGAACCTGAAATAATTGAGTATTCATTATTGATTAAACTCGATTTTAGGATGCGCCACACATTTCACTGCCATTCCGATTCGTAATGGCATTTTGATTGCGATTTGGTATAGTGATGGTTGGCTAGGATAGACCTATAGAGTGACTTGAGGGATTCAGGCAAAGTATAAATCAGGGTTTTGATCCTTCTGGACAAATCTAGGGCTAATAAACCGACCATAGGGGGATGGGAGTCATGGTTGGCGCTGACGAGATTTGATTCAGGATCTGACTGCGACCATGGAAAGCAGCATCATCTATCCAGGGTACAGCGTCCTTGGGGGGAAACCCCAACGGATGAGGTCCTACTTAAGCGCTGGGAGGGGCTCGTATTCGGTCGATGATCTCGCATCTGGCTTCGACAGGAACGGACTTCCGAACCGTCATGAAATTTTTCCGTTCCGTTTTCCGGAATTCTGTTAACTTCTCCCGATTTCTTATCCGTTTCATAAGCGCACGAAAGCACTGAACAACAAGTTTTTCTGGTAGTAATTTGTGTCACCTCCACCAACCTTCCCACACACCCGAATTATTGAAGAGGGAAGTTTGGGAATATTTTGGAAAAATGGAAAAAGTGAAAGCCGATTGGGAAATTTCAGGAAGATGGATGGGATGGGGAACGGGTGGGGATGGGAGGGGGGTCGTACCAGAGAAGGAAGTTTGGAAATTCGGGAGAAGGGGGGGGGGGTTCTGCCGACACCGCCTGCAACTGCTCAGTATCCATCAGAGCCGCGCATCCACAAAACATCGAGAATAAAAACAATCAAGCGCCCCCCCCTCCCACTCGTTCTTCTTAAGTATTTATTATGGGCTTTGGCGCCGGATTCGCGCACGGATTGTAGGCTATTAACAGGGCGATTTTGACTAATTTGCCTTTCCTTGATTTTTCATTTTTGTTTTGTTTACATTTACATCGTTGTTCTTCATTTCTAGCCTGTGTCATCTTCATCTCCTTGTACATGGATTTTAAAGCATGAGCAACACAGCGCTAAAATTTTTTCCGCATTCGGAAATTGCGTTTTGCTTGTATCAAACTAGCGAGTATGCCGTTTTATTTTCATGTTTCGTGGAAATACGCGGCCTCCGAGGGATGTTGCAGAAGTGGCAGCTTGATTTCAAGTCTGACCTCGCAATCGATCTTCTGCTTCTTATTTGCACACCTCCAGTGTTATCCGCATCAGGGAATTTGTTCACTTGTAATGAAAGCGCAATTAAAGCGACCTTGGGCATAATAGTTGCCAAGGAGCGCACGCGACACGCGCGCTTACGACGGATGTTATGAAGGACGGGAATCTGCGCCGCAAAAAGGTGTAAGGCGGAGCATGGAGGAATTAGCGTGTTTCACGGTCCTGTATCTCCATTCCTGGGCATGTTTGGGCGGGGGACCACGACACATCGACATCTGGGGGGCTGATAGTCTCATACACCCTCAATGTTGTGAGCGTACTGTGTCTTTAAATGACACATAGTACGCTCATACACATGAGGATGTATGAGACTATCAAGGCCCCGATGTCGAAATGAGATGTGGTCCCCCCGCCAGGCAGCCCAGGAATGGAGATATAGGGGCCGTGAAACACGCTAATTTCTTGCCATGCTCCGCGCCCACGCCTTGTTTACGCGCAGCAATTCCGCCGTTCTGAACATCCGTCGTAAGCGCGCCTGTCGCGTGCGGCTCCTTGGCACTTTGCCAAGTCCTTTAATTGCGCTCTCAAATACGAGTAAAACGCAATTTCCTGATGCGCGAATAAATGTGCGAGCGTGCGCAAATAAGAGCAGAAGATGATGACAAGCGGGCAGACAATCTCAAGAGCAACTGTGCCACATGTCTGCCAAAATTCCCTCGGGACAGGCAATCCCGACCTCATATTATTTCCATTATGGTCTCTTTAGTCGCAGTGCGTGGGAATCCAGACTATTTCAGTCTGAAATAAAACGGTACACCGTTAGTTTGATACAAGCAAAACGCAATTTCCTGATGCGAATAAAACTCTAGGTGTTGCTCATGCTTCAAAGTCCATGTACAAGGAGATGAAGATGACACAGGCTAGAAATGAAGCACAACGATGTAAATGTAAACAAAACAAAAATGAAAAAATCAAGGAAAGGCAAATTAGATAAACTGGCCTGTAAATTTCTACGATCCGGCGCCAAAGCCATAGAAATACTTAGAACAAACGAGTGGGACGCTCTTGGGCGCTGTTTTTAGCTATGTTTTGTGGGAATGCGCCGGCCTTTTGGGAAAAATGATGGATACTGCAGATGCAGCCGAGTTGCTCTTGAGTTCTGGCCCTCGTCATCATCTTCTGCTCTTATTTTGTAGCATCTCCAATGTAATCCGCATCAGGAAATTGCGTTTTACTCGTATTTGAGAGCGCAATTAAAGGACTTGGCAAAGTGCCAAGGAGCCGCACGCGACAGCGCGGCTACGACGGAGATGTTCAGAACGCGAATCGTGTCGCGTAAAAAGGCAGTGGGCGGAGCATGGAAGAATTAGCGTGTTTCACGGCCCTGTATCTCCATTCCTGGGCATGTTTGGGCGGGGGGACCACGACACATCGACATCTGGGGGCTGATAGTCTCATACACCCTCAACGTGTATGAGCGCTACCATGGGTCTTTAGCTCGTTCTAGTTGCTAGAAATGTCAACCGATGGGAGGGCGGGGGGGGGAGCAAGGGTGCCCATTCGCTACTTTCTTGCTGGCTCTTGTTAAATTGCATGTCTGACCTTAATAAGACCTGTAGACTCCTGTCAAATGTTAACGGAGCTTCCGATTGTGTAGCTTGACAAGAACTTACTGGCTCTTCACAGGAGGCATCACTAGTCACCGATGCGAACCAGCAGAATCCCCCTCCCCTTCAACCAAGTCGAACTACCCCTTCCCCCTACTTACTCACATTGGAACCCCACGATCCACAACTTGCAATCGAGGTTTGTGCCTACAAGTGTGATGTACCCACAATTCTTGAATTAGCATTTTCCTCTGTGGAAGTTGCTGTTTCAGCGAGCTTCTGAGCATGTACACATTGCCTCCCAGTGTAGTTTGGTGTGGAACGAGAATTACGAAGATTGTCGGCAGATGTGTGTACGTCGAAGTGACGTACGGTATTGGAGTTGCCCATTCCGCATAGATCGCATTGGATCGTTCCATATTACGATGAGGTACATTAAAATATCAATAATTAGTAATAGTATAG